AATACAGGTATGTTTGACAAAGATATATTCGTAACCATTTAAAGATTGCTTTGTAAAGATATTCATTCACGTTCATTATGGTTCATTTATTACCGTCATTATTTTCATTATCATTAACATTCTTGTTATTGTCATTTTTTTATCATTATCATCAGTATTATTTTACTTTTTTTGTTATCATTGTTATTATTTCATCGTTAGTTCATCATTACTATACTTTCATTATTAACATCATTATCATCATCATCATATCATTTCTTTTCTCTCTCCTCTTTTCAGTCTCTCTCCTCTTCTCAATCTCTCTCTTTCTCTCTCTTCCTCTCTTATTTTGTGATCATTTTTATTATCCTGATTGGCATCAAAACCACTCTGCATAATTAGTAGAGGAAGGAAGGGAACCCGAAGAGATTATTCATATTTGCAAGCACTCATATACTTTTTATATATTTTATTCTGAATTAATTTATCATTATCACCATTGTTAGTACCATCATTACTATCATGATTCTTAACGTTAATAGAATCTTCGTCATCACTGCTACTGCCATTAGCGTATCCTTCTCATTATATCATCATTGTTATTGTAGTTGCCCTCATGTCATGTACTAAAGAAATATGTTTAATTTTATGATCGAGGGATTTATTAACAACTTATTACTGCTTACTCCTTTAACCACAAATTTCGACTAATAAATGTAAATTTGCAGCGAGAGTGGTAACACATGAAGGTAAACTAATTTGGCCACTGGTAATTTCGAAAAACAGAGTCTAATGGCATTGTCGATTTGTAGGTCTGTGAAGAGGATAATTTTTTTGTTTTTTTTTTTTACTTTTGTATAAGAGACATCAGCACATAGTTGTCCAGCACTCTCCTAATGGATGGTTGTCGAGGAATAGGCATGAGATGCAGTTATGTAGACTCATGAGAATATGAAATTAGTGAGATGGATAGTGTGAGGGATTTATTTGAAGAATATATGGGGTGAACGAATGCAATTATATAACTTTAAGAGATATGTGATGAGAGAAATGCGTATTATTTGTGATCGAGGATATTAATAACATATACTGCTGACTCCTTTAACCACAAATTTCGACAAATAAAAGTTAAATGAGTATTCTTTTAAACATGTGTAGAGTTACGTATGTTTAGTTACACGAACGCGCCCGGAGTCATGGATTCACTTATGCGAACGGGTGGTCGTGTTGCCCACTTGGGGCGTTCACTTTTTATTTCAATGCCTTTTCTGATGCCCTTTTGGCAAGCCCTTGTCCGTTTTATAAACGCCACACCTCCAGAAGTATATATAGTAAGTTTTGGGACGGTAGGAGCTCGTTTAACCCACACTCAAACCTCTTACAATTTGGATACTTGGCAACCCCTGCCGTGACGCGCCATGGAGTCGCCAGAGAAGGCAGTTGGCGGGTGACCTTCACTGTGGGAGGCGTGAGTGTGGGCTGGGGAGGACTCGTGCGGCCGTTCTGTTAAATTTAGGGAAGGCCGACCAGTGCTTATTTTAGGGTTAACTTCTTATTTTGATTTGTTAAACGATTTCAACGCAATTGTTTTGTGTCTGGCACGTGAAATATTATTGGAACTCGATCGAGAAACTCGGGCAGGCCTACCCATCGCTAACGGCGTTCCCTAATCTTAATATAAGTTCTGAAATAATCAAAAATGCCCCTGAGTTTTCATATAGCAGCTAATTACACACTTAGAATTAATAGCGACTTTAAAATGAATCTGTTAATAAAAAAATGGAATACAATTTTTTTTTTATAGAAAAACTACGATCAACCCGGCTATTGCTTGCCGCAGATCACGATATTTGAGCTTTAATTCGCCTTTTCTCGTAATGCTTGGCGTTGACACCTTCTGCTGTCGTCTGGGAAATCAGTTTTGAAGACGGAAAGTTACTCACTGCATATGAAATAACCTTCTAATTTACGAAAAATAAGCTCTGTGACTAAAGGTTTTATAGCCCTCCTGACATTCCAATCAGTACTGTTTTTAGACAAAAATTATTACAAATATCAAGACATTTATTAATAAATTACATTTTACTTTTGAAAATATTATTAAATATGACCATAGTTCTCTTTCTCTCTGTCTATCTCTCTCTCTCTCTCTCTCTCTCTCTCTCTCTCTCTCTCTCTCTCTCTTCTCTCTCTCTCTCTCCTCTCTCTCTCTCTCTCTCTCTCTCTCTCCCTCTCCCTCCCTCCCTCCCTCCCTCTCCCTCTCCCTCTCCCTCTCCTCTCTCTCCCTCTCCCTCTCTCTCTCTCTCTCTCTCTCTCTCTCTCTCTCTCTCTCTCTCTCTCTCTCTCTCTCTCTCTCTCTCTCTCTCCCTCCTCCTCCCTCTCCCTCCCTCCTCCTCCCCCCCCTCTCTCTCACTCACTCACACCCTCACCCCATCCACCTCCCCCTCTCCCTCCCTCCCTGTGTGTGTGTATTTATCTATCCATGCATCTTCATTTTTACCTTTTTCTTGGTCACAGGCTC